AAAAAATATTAATTACAAAAATCTATCTATTTATTTTGTAATTCAAGGAAATTTACTTGTGTGAATAATAATAAATAAATAATTTAGTAATCAACGGATTAATCACTTCCGATTAGAGGTTTTTTCTATTTCAGATCTACGAATAGCAGAAGAAAAAAAAGGATTTTATCGATTTGGAAATGAAAAAAAAAATTTATAAATTTAAAAATCGATTTTTTTTTTTCTGAATCAAATTCAATCAATCATGATTAATCAGAAGAAAAGAGAAAATTAACTGAAACAAAAAATACGCATTGGAATAATGAATGTTTAATGAACAACAACAACAAAAACAGCCAAAATGTTTGAAACTAACAATCTAATCTTATCGTGGATATGTGTGTGTGTGGTAAATGGATGTAGGAAAATAAAAAACTGTACACCTGTAGGGCATTTATATTGAAGCAAAATCATCATCATCAGTTTTTGGATTTCAAGTTTTTATTTTTGTTGTTTTTTTGTGTTTGTTCAAATTTCATCATCATCATTATCGTTATATTCATAATATGTCAATGATAGTGTAAACTTGTTGAAAAGAAAAAAGAAAAAATCCAATTCGAGAAAAAAAAGGTTAGCTTTGATGCTTTCCGCATGCAAATGTCATTCGAGAAAGAAAGAAAACAAATATTTTTTACAACCAATTTGACAGTTAGAAAATATGCCAAAATATTAATCCTTTTTTTCTGGAATTCTGAAATCCAATCTAAATTGGATTTAATAAATCAATGAATATAACTGAAAGGTAAATGTAAATGTAATTTGAATTTTGAATTTGCAAAACGATGGCGTGGCAGACAAAATGATTTTTTCGTTGATTATTAATTTTTGTCGATGATTATGATGATGTGGAAGGGAAAATTTTTGATTGATTAAAGAAAACTTGTGGAATTAAAAAAACTTGAAACAAAAAAAACTTGCACTTGAACGAGACAGACACATGAATATAAGAAGTAACATCGTTATTTTGCAAAAATAAAACTAGATTTTTCTTTTAAAAAAAAATATTTTTTTGAATGAATCCGGCCTGTCAATGAGAAAAGACAAAATGTATCATCCTCATCATTATCTTTTCTTTTTCTTTTTTTGAAGATCATGATCATGATCATCTTCAATTCAAATCTTTGAATCTTTTTAATTTCATAAAACTTTTTTTTCTTCTTTTTAACACCATTTGATCATCGATAATCATGTTTTGAATTGAAGAAAATCTTGAATAAAAAAATCAGGAGATTTCCAATCAAAAAATTATTATTATTTTTTTACAAATCAAAAAAAAAGGATTAAGATTGATTTTAACAGACAAACAAACAAAAAAAATACTGTACAATTATACTATACATTGAATATGGGAGAAAAGAAAAAAAAATGTTGAAAATGAAATGAATACTGATTTTCATTACTTTTTTGGCTGTTTTTTTAAGTAAATGAATGTATGTGTGATACACACACGAACACATCAATTATTAACAAATTGAAAATAAGGGAACAAAAATACATGTTGAAAATGAAAGTGAATTGCGTGTGAATGAATGAATGAATGGATTAAATATTTTGGTCAATTTTGATTTTGATGTCATCATTCATCATTCATTAAAAAGGATTAATTGTGACCACATCATTATTGTCATCATCATCATCATCATCAGCATTGATGTTTGGCTTGATTAATCCATTACAATAATTATCATCAATAATTTGATCTTGTAATCGTACATCATTCCAAACGCAACGTATTAACAATCTTGTCCTCGATTCATTATTTTTTTGTTGTTTTTCTTCATTATATCTATTCGAATTATCATCAATGCAATCATTGTTACGGCACTATTGACAAACAAAATCAAAATAATAAACAAAAAAAATTGAAAAATTAAAATTTGAAACATTAATAATTACAAATCAAATGAAAAACAAACTTTTCTTTCATTCAAATCAAATGATTCTTCTTTTTCTATTTCTGTCAATGAATGTTGAATTGTTTTATTGAAAATTTTCCACATTGGTATACAATTCATATGATAACATTCTTGTTGCGTGATTGGTTTGTTTGAATTCCAATGATAACATTCAGATTCATCCATATTGATTGTACCATTTTGATGATGACATTCAACATTTCGCCATTGTATTCCTTTATGTATGTCTATACAACCTTGACACTGTGTGATTGAATGATTAAAAAAATGAAAAATGAAATAATTTTTCCATAATTGACAAAAAATCACTGGAATCCTTTGTGGCTCCCTATGAAGCCATTCTCTCTCTCTTTTTCATACACACTCACCTCAGACCATTGGCCAACCATCCAATATGAACATGTTTGTAGGCCACATATTTCAAATGTATTCGGTTTAGTCAGGCCTGATTCAATACAAAATGAATCATTAAGTTTACGTGTCATATTGTCTAATCGTTCATAACATTGACTATGTCGAATCTAATATATTGAAGAAAAAAATATTTTAGTTTCACATAAATAAAATCATATCAATAAATTACTTTAAATCCAAATCCACCGCAAGGTATTGTACAATTAGACCATGATGTTGTAATCCAATTCAATTGGCCATATGGTTTTTCTATTTGTTTTTCATCATTAATTTCATTCGAATTATCCACTAATGATAATTGTGGTGATTGTGAAGATTTTTTATTTGATTTTCTAACCAATGCAATCAGTTCCTGAATACCTCCAAGTCGATCAGGTCGTATTCGATCATTATCATTATCATCATTATCATTATCATAAGATAAATATTGTCTTTTTGTTTCACTTTTTAATGAATATTTTTCCATTTCTTGTGATACATCCAATTCATTTTGATAATAATTATTACTTATTTCTGTGGTCGTTGTTGTTGTTGAATGTTGATCATTCATAAAATCATTATTATTATTATTATCCATTAATCGAACAACATGTAAAAACATTGAATGTTGAATGATATCATCATCATTATTAGAATCATAATTGTAGATACATTTATAAACACCAGTATCATTGGATTTTATCATTCGGATTTTAAGAAAATTATCCATCATTATAATATGTTTACGATCCGGTTGAATAAGATCATGACCTTTTAACCATATTGGTTTGATTTCGGTTGTTGTTATTGTTGTTGTTTGTAATGGTAATGGACATAAAAGTTTAATTCGTGAACCTTCCATAATGGTTACTTCTCCTTGTACTTTAAATACATGTTTATATTGTATTTGATGATTATTTAATCGATTATTATGATGATTTCGTTTAGATTTTCTTATCATTTCACCACCATTATTTCCCATCAATAACAATGATGATGATGATGATGATGTTCGACGACATGGTTTAAGATTACATTGTTTCGATATTTTTGGTTTTTTTGCTAATGAACATTCAACAAACGATACGTTTTGCAGGCCACCAATAACATAATCTTTTACACAATAAATATTACGTTTTTTTAATCCACCACCACATTCACGGGAACATTTTTGCCATGCATGTGTATCCCATCTGGCCGGACAATCAAATTGATTACATTTACGTTCGATTAATGGTTTAAGTGAATCACATTGATCATCAGGTACAATGACAAAATTTTTTGATCCTCTTGCTACTTCATGTATACAAAGAACAACACGAGTTTGATATCCACCTTCACCACATTTTTTCGAACAATCGCCAAATTCACTCAAATTCCATCTTGGTAAACATGGTTGATCATTACAAATTCTTGTATAGGTTTCGGGTTTTGTTTCCAATGGACAAAGCTCGGTAGGCATTCGTTGATTATCGCTAATTCGAATACAATCAATTATCGATTCTTGTGTACCACCTAAACAATTTGCTGAACATTTTGTAAAACCAGTAATTTTCCATTGAAATTTTTCATCAATAAAATTATCATCAGGTTCAATAATATAATTATTTTCTTGAAGAGAATCTTTTCCATCCATATGACAATCATATCCATAACATATTTGTATATCTGATGGTCTTGATCCTGAACATTGATTAAATGGTATTGTTGCAAATGTTTTTGAAAATTCCAAATAAATTCGGCATTTAACACTACGTTTTTTATAGCCAATTCCACAAGTAACATTACACGAAGACCATTGTCCAACATCATAGCTGAGGGAAATTGACATTGAAAAAAAATTTAGAAAAAAATTTCAAAATTCAATTAAAATAACCTTTACCTTGGTTCATTGATCATTGAATCAATGACAATATGATTGTTTGGTGAATCTTCTTGCGAATTTGTTGATTTACCATTTAAACAATCCGATATATCTGAACAATTACGACTATCTAATGGTCGAAGTTGCCAATCACATTTGTCACTATAATAAATAAATTTGAAAGAAAAATCATAAATGAAAAAGATTTCAATGAAAAAAAACAATTACCTTGGCAATCCTTGATTATCTTTGCATATAACATGACGGCTTTGAGTACCATTACCACATGTTTCAGAACACTATTTATAAATATTTTAAAAATTATGATTAATCATTTTAAATGTTTGAAAAAAAAACATACCGCTGACCAAGGTCCTTCATACCATTCTGGACATTCTTCTTCATTACATTTTCTTTCAGTTTCAGGTCGTTTCAGACCAATTTTTTCACATTGTTTTTCATCCATTTTTACATTATGATTAATATTCAATACACAATATATGGCACGTATTTGATAACCTGTTCCACATTTTTGTGAACATTTTGACCATTCTTCTGTTATCCATCTTTTTTGTAATTGAAAAAAAAATTGTCAGAATTAAATCAATTTAAAAAAAAAATTAAATAAAATAAACAACCAACCTAAATTTACAATGTTCAATCGATGATTCACATTGTGATGTTATTGGATTTGGTCGTTCATCTTGTCGACAAAATAAATCATCAACAATTATTTCAGTACTAACATCCGTACAAAAAACTGTTGATGTACGAAATTGTGATAATTGATAATCATTGGAACAAATGGTTGAACAATTTGTTTCAAATCGATGTTGCCATCTATAAGTATGATTTTTACATGATGATCCATCACCACCACAAACACCACAATTATCAATTTTTTTTGTCGATCCAAGTTGAAGATCACAACCAACACTCATACATTTTCCGGATACACATACATCTAATGAATCGGTTGTACATCGTGTACCATCCGTTATGAATGGTGATAATTTGGCAACAAAATTTAAACCATTTGCTTTACATGTTAAACTACATGGATCAGTTGGATCAATAAATGCAATCCATTCATAATAACGTTCTCTATATGGTTTATTATTGAATGATGAACATTGTGATTGACGAAAATTTGTTTTCACAATACATGGCTTATTTGCATGCAAAAATTCAATTTTGAAAAAAAAATTCAATGAACAAAATGATTTGAAACATTAATTGAAAAATAAAATGAAAAAGTACCTGCATATTACATAATTTATGTCGTTTAAATTGGCCATTTTTACAACCAGAACGAGCCAAACATTTTCGAACTGAGGTAGTTATTCCTCCATCACAGATTCTTTTAGTGTAGTTTGTTCAAAAGGAAAGTTTCAAAAGCAAAATCAATGAGTTTTTTTCATTTCATAAAATCCAAAAAAATATGAATGCATGATTATTACCTAGAACAAGGAGACCAAGGTGACCATAATGACCATTCATTTATTTCATGAACAACATCATTCGATAATATTGATATCGATGATGATGATGACGGTGATAATACATTAAGGCAACAATAATCATTGATCAAAAATAATGGCTATAAATGGGGGAAGAAAAGGACGAAAAATTAATTTCCAAAATGAAAAATCCAAAAATGAATAGTAAATGTTTGCAATAAATTTTTGATCATTCAATTTTTTTTATTTTCCTAATATATCTGTAAGCAAAATATCTATCAAATAATGCTATTAGTATCATAAATAAGTGGATCGAATGATGATAACGAAATTGAAAATTTCATTTACTTGATAAACACAGACATGAACAAACAAACAACGATCTAAATGTTTTTGAAAAACATTAAAATTCAGGAAATGATGATTGCTAAGAAAAGCAATTCTGTTGAATGAATCACAAGAAAAAAGAAATATAAATAAACAAACAAACAAACAAAAAATGTTTTTGTTTTTCAGTAGGGGGAAAGCGTTAGAATTTTCGTTTTTCAAATTCTATTTTTCAATTCTACAATGACAGTGAAATGTGTACTTGTTTCGTTTTTTTGGATGTCAAAAGATTTGTGTTTGAAAGATTTTTTTTTTTGTTTACAATAACAACAACGATTCTGAAAAAAAACTTCAGGATCATCAAAAAAAAATTTTCATCGAAAAGAAAAAATCTTCGAAAAGAATCGATTGAATTGAAAATATTTTTAGCCAAGTTGGCAATTTGATGATTTGTGTGTGTATGTTTTATCCATGCCTGATGATATCTTTTAATCTTGAGTTTCGAAAATGAAATGATAATTTTCTTTTAAAAACAACCAAAAAAAAAAGAAAGGTAATAAATCAAATCGAAAAGAATCGATCTAATTTATAAGATAAATTCATTCATTTCGGATTGTGAAAATATTCAAAATCCGAAATCACCCTTCAATATTTGGTTGGTGGTGGTGGCGAAAAACACAAAAATGATCGTAATCTTTTTTTTTTGAAAAGGGAAAAATCAACCAAACATTCACATGCATTGAATATTATATCATTCTTCTACCACGATTAAACGGTATATGAGAGAGAAAAAAAAATCCAATTACAGAAAAAATAATAATAAATTTCACGAATGATGTTCACAGGTCACGAAATATACAAATTGCATATATCAAACATAGATGTTTGGCTGATTTTTTTTTTCATTGAAAATTCAAAAATAATCAAAAATCAAATTGATCAATCTAATATTTTTTTCCCCCAGCAATGAATGAATTAAATTAATGATATCATTTTTAGTAATAAAACACATTTTATCTATACATATTTGATTTTTTCTGGTTTTTTTCAGCCTGTGTATAGCATGAATTTTCTATTGATAATCAACATGAATATAATTACATTCGGTAAGCACATGTAAACAACGAAAAAAAAAATACATCAAGTAACAACAACAACAACAAATCAATGGATCTCTGAAAAAAAACTAAGCTAAGTTATTAATGCGTTTTTTTAGATATGTGAAACAAACAAACGAAAAGCGAAAAAAAAATTGTACGAAAATTCCATTCTTTGTTTTGGCTGATATACCAAAACAAACAAACAAGACAAAATGCAAATATTATATTTATTTAGTGGCCAGAAGAGAATTATAAAAAGTTTTTTCTATAAAAAAAAGATAAGAAATAAGCATAGTGCCAACAGATTTATGTATGAATGAATGAATTAAGCAGAAAAACTTTGACTTTTTTTTACTTTGACTTTGTTTGTCAATCAATAGGATATGGTTCGAAAGAAAAAAAAATTCACAAATAACGTATAATGAAAATATGTTATTTTAAAAATTTAATTTAAAATGAAACAGAAAACTGATGCTATTGTTTTGTTTTTTGAAATTTGAACCCATAAAATTTTTTTTAGTAATTAATTTCAAACAAAAGAATCCTAATTTATGAGTCGAAATGTTCTTTGTTTGATATTTTGAAGAATTTTTTCAACAACAAAAAAACAAAACAAAAGAGAAAATCAAACAAGATACATACGCAAAAGATTATGGTGAAAAATATTAGCAATTTATAATGATGTGGATGTTTCATTTTTGTTGTTGTTGTTGAATTGAAGAAGAAAAAAATTCTCGATAAAAATCAATTAAACATCATTCAGAGCCAAACAGATGGACACAATGGTTCGAATGATTCACCATCATCATTATTATTACATTCGGTTGCAAAACATTTCACACACACACACAAAAATTTTTGATTGATCAGTTGAAACTTTGGGATGCAAGAATAAGAACAAAATGACAAGAAATGATGTAATTTTTGATTGCAATTCATGATGATGATGTTTTTTTGGAAATAACACAAAGGCGTCAGCGATCAAAATGCGCCTGACATTTTTTGTTTTGTTCGGGATGTTATATTCGGACAAGAAACCAGAATAGTGAAATTAGGCAAAACAGTAAAAAAAAAATTCACATCGTTGTCAAAAAACAGAATAATGGAACGGATGACGGCGTTGACAAGTCGTCGTTTTTTTTTGGGGTTTTTTTTTCTTGTTTGATGCTGGTCACAAATCGAAAAACCAAATGGTAATGTAATGTTTGGCTGGTTGGTTGGTTGTTTCAAACAAAACAAATTGAAGAACACATCAGAATCGACCAACCAAACACTCACTACATACATTAATAAAATCATATAAGAGATTTTTCATTATTTTTTTTTTGGGCGCGCAAGACTACGACGACGATGCGAGAAATGGTTGTTGAAAATAAATGGTGATGGCTGTGTTTTTGTGTTTTTGTATTATTCTTTGCTTTGTTCGGTTGATGTTGTTGTTGGGTCAGAATTGCGCCGTTCTTCGGCTTTCATCACAGTAAAGTGACTTGTACAAAATGAAAAAGAGATACGGGTCGTTTTCATCATCAGTCAGTCAGTCAGTCATTCTTTCTTCGAACGATGTTTTTTTACGATGACGACCCAGAAACTAAAATCGAAAACTGTTTTCCACTTATACATACAATACACATTCTCTCACACACGATTGATGTATTTTCGATTTCAATTTTTTTTTAAAACCCGAAAAAAAACAAACGCATCCATTTATTCATTCATACACCCAGACACACACACACATTATATTGACAAGTATAAGTTTTCATAAGTATTTTTCGTCACTTTATTTTGAGAGAGCAAGGGAGAGAGAGAGAGAGAATAATTTTTTGTTGGTTATCAAATTGATGATATTGATATGTGTGTGTGATAATAATAATAACAAACATTCATATATGAATTTAGATCGATCGAACGATCGATCAATTGATCGATTGATTGATTGATTGATCAAAATAATGTTGTTGTTGTTGTTGTTGTTGTGATGTTATAATGGATTTATATATTTGTTACGATGACAACAACGAACGAACGAAATGAATGAATGATTTTTTTTCTGGTAAATTGAGGAAAAAGTTTTAAAAAAACAACAAGCGACAAAGTTTTTTAAAAAAGAAATTAGTTTGGTTTTCCATTGATATGATGGATTGGAAAAGTCAACAACAACAACACAAAAACGACATATGGAAAGTTCAATTAACAATGTTGTTGTTGTTGTTTTTGTTGTAAATAATAAATCAATCTGTATTTTGTGATGGAAAATGAATCCAAAAAACAAAAACAGAAAAGAAGAATATCAATAAACAAACAAAACAATAATGGGCGCTTTTGAATTCAAATGATTTTGTTTTAAAGATTTACAAAAAAAATCTGGCTAAATGATTGAACGACAAAATGATGATGATTATGATCAAATGAAAGTTAAACACAAACACGAAAAAAATACATTTTTTTTGGGAAGTAAATCTCTATTAGTATATTTTGGGGGGAAGGAGGGGGTTAAAAAACACCTAGGTAACAAACAGCAGATGTATAATGTTGTTGTCGGAGGTGTCCATCATCATCATCATTTGATGGTCGGTATATTCTCCACTATTCTTAATACAGAAAAATGTTTTTCTGAGATAAAAATTATTGATTTTTGTTTGGCAACTTTTTTTCCCTGAAAAACAAATGGAATTCAAATTCAAACATACTTGATTTTCAGAAAATGGAAAAATCTCAAGACCCAAGAAATGTATTCGGCTTTCTCTATTTTTGAGTGGTTTTTCTTTTCTTCTTCAATGATGATGATAATATTCTCTCTCTTTTTTTGGACTCTGCGCCAAAAAAAAATTTTTTCTTTTCGCGGTTTTCAGTTCTGGGTTGTTGATGATGATGATAAAAGCTTATTGTGGTTGCCGATGGTATGCATGATTTTTTCTCGGATGATGATGATGGTGATAATGGTGGCCTTGCCCGATGAAGAAAAAAAGAGGAAAATTCTCCAAGGTAACCAAACAACAAAAAGAAAAAAAACCACAACCAATCAAAAGAACTGTTTTAAAACGATTCGATGATGAATATGAAAATAATTTTGTGTATACAATATCGAAACACACACACATAATGCCAGTAAATTTCGTTTTATTTTTATTGATTTCTTATCATTATTCGACTGTATATCTTCATTTGGTGCAAACACCATCACGGTGAAGCACTTTAATAAAGTTAAAGTTAAGTTAATGCCAGTAAATTAGACTTTTTGGTTGTTGTTCGAGAAAGAGAGCGAGAAAGATGGTTCCGATGGTAAAAAACAAACAAACAAAAATTTTTTTTCAAGTGTTGTTGGCTGGCTGTTGTTCGGGGGTCGATCGATCCGGTGTACGAAGTTCGTTCCATGTATTCAAATTCATTCGTAAAAAAAGCAAACAACAATCAAGAAGATCAACAAGGGTTTTTCGAGGGTCGGTATCGACGGACCATCAAGATAGATGAATTTATAGTGAGAAAAACTTCGAACCGAATCAAATCCGATGAACAAACAAAAACCAAAAGAAAACATTCGAAATTGGTAATGGACGAATTTCAAATTTTTTTTCCTGCCTTTTTCACACTATCGCAATAGTTGACAACAAAAAAAAACTATCGATTGTTTATTTGATCGATAATAAAAAAAGTTTTAATTTTTTAAATTTTAAAATTTTTAAAAAGAAAAAAAAATTTAACCACCACCATTATTATTTTGCCATGAATCTAATGTTTGTCGTCGTAATTGAATAAGATTAATTTTAAAATATTTTATACAACCAGGACCAGTAATTGATAATTTGGAACGATATCTTTCAGGTATTATCACCGTACAAAGAATTAATTCTTTTCTTGAATTATTCGATATCCGAATTAGACCGGATATTTCATTATAATTTAAGGTTTTTGTTTCATTATCAGTTGTATCATCATCATATTTATATTCAATAATTATTGCATAATGTGAATGATTAAATGGTGGTCCTTCTTCATAAAGCAGATAATCAACACCGAATTTAAAACCATTATTAACAACAAAACCTTGTGAACGAAAATAATAATAGGCTGCAAATTTAGTAACGAATTTGGTTGAACAATCATTATTATCATTGGATAGTTGACAAAAACATTGCCACAGTTCATCAAGACCATAAAATTCTTTGCTAGAATTTTTCTGAATTTTCAGCATTCCAAATACATAGCTAAGAAAATAAGCTTCTTCAAGATTTAATTTCATACAGGTGAATGAAGTTTTTTGCTCAGTGGATTCGATTGTTGGATTTTCATTCGTTGTTTTAAGTTTCTATATTTTACAAATGTAAGAAAAAAAGAATAAAATAAAATTGAGAAAAGAACCAAAACAAACATTCAACTGAAACAACAACATTACATTTGTATCACCGATAAAATTTGTTAATGCTGGTGATATGTTGACGGTGTTTAATGAAAAAAATCCAACAGTAAATTTGGGTTTATTTTTATTTGTTGATTGTTGTTGACGTTTGTTTTGAGTATCAATCATTGATTTGAAAATAATTTCACGGCTAGAATGTGCACCGAAAAAACCCATTTTATTTAATGCTAAAATAGTTGGTAGATCATCGATTGAAATTAATTTTTCATTTTCTATTAATCGCCCGATTGCCATTAAGAAAAATTCTTCTTTTGAAAATGGCCATATAGTTTTGTTTTTTAAATCTAACATTGGATATGGAAACGGTAGATTAATCTGTGATTTACAGAATGATTTACCCAATGAATGATTATGATTTGGTCGAGTGGATTTGGACATCTTTTTGGATCGATCCATATTTTTGAAAATTTAAATTTCAAAAAATTTTCAAAGTTTTTTGTTTACAATTCAAAGACACGTGCGAAATCCGTTCATAAACACTAGGACATTATTTTCACGTGGATCCTCATCGAATGTTTTTTTTTCTTGTTTTGTTTTGGTCCAAAAATTTTTTCATTTTTTAAAATAAAATGAATTCATTTAGATTAGATGATAATATGATGAATACTCAACGACCACCATTTCGATTTGAACCACCTGGTTCTTCTTCTAGTGATGATTCTGACTGTGATGATAATAAGGTTGGCAGTGGACGATGTCATCTTTTAGCCAAAATTGATGATGAAAACAATTTGGATGATAAAATTTCAAAAAATGACCTGAATCCATTTACACAACCATCACCAAAACTAGCAATTATTGATCATAAACAATCAAATATTAAGAATAAATTTAGTATTTGGTCGGAAATTCTTTTGGAACAACAATTAACCGAAACAATGGATGAAACATTACAGATTAAAGATCGACGTTCAGCAGCACGACGACGAAAACGAATGCGATTACAGCAAAAAGCTCAAGAACAACAACAGCAATCGAATGATGACGCTGAAAATTATTTCCAATGGACACAAAAAGATTTTGAAAAGAAATTTGGTAAAAAAAATTCAAATGAACAAAAACCAAAACGTATACGTAAACCAGGAGTTGTCGGTGAAATTGCCTATAAACTTAAAGAAGCAAGAACCGATATTATCAGTAAGTTTAATGTTTTTTTAATTAGAAACTTTTTACAAATCTTTTTTCTCTGAATTTCTAGAAAATATTGTCGATGTTCTTGGTGAACAACGTGCACGACAATTAACAGCCGAAGTATTAGATATCGTGGATGTTGGTGGTATTATGATTGAAAATCAACAACGTAAACGTTCACCAGGTGGAACATTATTTTATTTAATTAAAAATGATTCAACAATTACTGATGAACAACGAAAATTAATATTTGGTAATCGTGAAATACGTGAACGTAATCGTCAGGTAAAAAAATTAAAACATAAACGTAAACAATCGGTTGGTGGCAACAAAAACAACAACAGCAAAAATGTTGTAAACAAAAGAAAAAAGAATAAAAAACGAAAAAAATGATAATTTTTAATTAACTAAAAAAACAAACGTTTATTTAATAAAAGATCATTATCTCATTACTTGACAAACAATAAATGCTAATTCATTAACAGAAAAATTCATTACAAATTTTGAATCACAAGTACGTTTAACAGTTTTATTTGACATTTTTTGTTCAATAAATACTTCCCAAAATGAACCGAAACGTTTTTTCATTGCTGCTTTAACATAACGTGCCATATCTTTTGGATTTTCAAATTTTAACGCTGCATATTCGGCTTTTGTAATGGCAAAACGTTGTTTATCGATTGGCATTTTGGCTGTTTTAATATCAATATCGACCGGTGCACTAATTTTGAAAATCGAAAAATCAAAAATCAATCAATTTGAAAATCAAAAATATAAAAAACATACATAAAAGCAAAATCTTCTGGATGTAATTCTTTTTCAGGTGTACCAGCTAAATCATCTTCAATATTATGTTCTTCACCTAACCAATTTTTACCATAATACATAAATAATTGTCCTTTACGAAAACGATAAATACCACCAGAATTTATAATCCAATCTGAATATGAATCAGACATTTTATTGATTTTTTTATTTTTACCACCAAACACATCAAACATTATTGAAATATTATCTTCAGTTTTTACTTCACACCAATGACGATAAAATGTTGTTTTTTTCGTTGTTGATGATGATTTTTGTGGATATTTTCTTTTGGAAAAAAATTTGGAAATTTAAAAAATTTCATAATTAACGGTAAAATACAATTACAACAACACATACCCTTTAATATCATAACGATCATCTGGTTCGATAATTTTCTTTTTAAATTTTCTTACATTATTATTTGATGAATCACGAAAACATTGTATTTCTACTGGGATATTCAGCTTATTCCATAATGTAATCCATGTATCACATTGAACAACCATTGGTTGTTGTAAAGATAATAGAAATATCAAAATGAATATACAGGAATATTGATTCATTATTAGTGAAATTATTTGATTAAATTAACCAGGTATTCAGGTATTTGAAATGTGAAGATGAATTTTTTGCATCTTCTTCTTTTTTTTGTAGAAAAAAAAATGGGGAAAATTAGATGTTCATTGGTGAATCAATTGGTAGGATTGCAACAAAACAAAACAAAATAGCAGCAACAACAACATTTTTTTTCTGTTGCTATTCAATTGATATTCAATGACGAATTCGTTATTTGTTGGAGAAAGAAGAGAAATGGACATCATGATGATGATGATCATCATTATTTATTACTTCATGATGAAGAAAAACACTATACACGTACTGCAGATAATGTTGATGGATGACATTGAAACTTTTTGCTGTTTGATTTCATAAATTTTTTTGTTTGTTTTTTCACTCAATTCAATTCATTTTTCAATTTTGAATTTCGAAATCCTGGATATATACTTTTTTAAAATCAACAAAAAAAAAGGAAAGTTTGAATCATGTTTGTTTATTGTTTCCTGATGTTTGTATCGATTCACTAGCATCATCTATCGATTGATTTTGTAAAAAATGAAAAAAAAAACAAAAAAAAAAATTATTTCCATTTTTTTCTCTTTTTCTTTGGAATTTTAAACCATGTCCAAAAAAAGAAAACAAAAATTGATTCTTAATTTATTCTTCAAACACTTTTTGCTAATCAATCAAATCGCAATCTTTGAATTAACACAAAGATTGCGATTTTGGTGATAACAATGTACTATTTTTTTCCCCCCATTTTTTCATCTGGATGTTCAAACGGAAACCAATTCGAGTTTAATGTTTTGTAATTTATTTATCCTTGACTATTTCCAAGTAAAAATCAGGCATTTTTCTTTTTTTTTTCTTTTCTTTTTTTAAATTGAAATCAATTCAATTTGGTTAATTTTAGTTATAGAGTTATAGAGCAACAAACCAAAACACCATCGACTAAAAAAAAAAAAATACACAGATTTTTATGATATATTTTATGTTGATTGCGAACAACAACAAAATAATAATGATTATATTTGGAAAAGGAGGGAAACAGAAGAAGAAAAAGAAGAAGAAGTTATTTCATATCACCAGGCTTTTTTTCGCCTCAATTTATGAATATCATTAACAGAAGAAAAGATTCACCATGCTTACATTGAATTTTTTTGTTTAAAACAACCAAAGACAAGTTCTTTCAAAATGAATGAAAACAAAAATCTAATCTGCATCTCTCTCTTTTTTTTCTCGAATCATTGATTATAATGTGTGTACGTTATTATTGATGTTGATGATTTGATTTAATGTTATGTGATTTTTGAATTTGTTTCTTACTTTATTTTTCTTCCAAATCAAAATAAAAAAAAATGTCGTTGATTGAAGATGTTGAAGAAAATTCAATCAAACCTGATAATATTTCAATATTATGGCAAAATTTACGTTATGAAGTGAAAAGTTTTTTTGGTAAACAGAATAAAATTATTCTACGAAGATTGAATGGTCATCTGAATCGACAAAGTTTAAATGGATTTCTTGGACCAAGTGGTTCAGGTAAAACAACATTATTAAATTGTCTGAATGGAACATTACGATCAGGTATTTCAACCGATTCGGAAATCTATTTCAACCAAAATGGATCATCATCATCATTGTCACCTGTAATTCGAATGATCGAACAAAATATACAGGATATGATTGTTGGTAAGATGACAATTCGTCAAGTGCTTCAATATGCATTTCGATTGAAAAATGATCGAAAAGATTTCAAAATAATCAATGAACATATTGGCCAAATAATGGAAGAACTTTTATTGGATAAAAATATTCTTGACAAACGATTTGAACAATGTTCGGGTGGTGAACAAAGACGTATTGCTATTGCACAGGAACTTATGTCCATACAATCACCAGATTTTCTATTTCTTGATGAACCTACTACTGGTTTGGATAGTAATTCAGCTTTATTGGTTATGCAATGTCTACGACGATTAGTCGATCATAATGATCATTTGACTATTTTGGTTTCAATACATGCACCAAGTTCAGATATACTCAATCTATTTGATCAACTTTATATTCTAGCTAAAGGTGGTGTTTGTATTTATTTTGATTCACCAACAAATCTACAATCAATATTGGAAAAAAATTTCGAACAAGAATTAATCATCGATCAAACAACAGATCAATTAGATAGACCACCAATTGAAATTTATTTAAAAATTGCCTGTCAAGGTAAGTTTAAAGTTGAATTCAAAGCAATGATGATGATGTTTTTTTTTCCATAAAAGGAATCGAAAGTCCACAGGTTAGAAAATTGGCCAATTCATGTTTGCATAGTGAAAAATTGAAGCGAATTTCATCGGAAATGAAAAATTTTTGTTCCATCGATAATTATCCAAATAATTATAAAAAGTTTTCATTAAAAGATTTATGGCTACAACTACAACGAATGTTTCTAATCGTATTTATGGTTGATGTACGAAAATTATATTCATTTATCATATTGTTGGGAATAGTTATAATAATATTAACATCAATGTTTGATAATGCAATGGTTACACCGAATACTTGTTATTCATTCATTGATGATCAAATATTGAATGAAACAATTCGAATGGAACAATGTTTGGAAAGAAATTGGGATAAAAATTATATTCTACAATATCGTGTATTTGTAACGAATATTATTTGGGTATCAAGTGCACCAATCACTGCAATTAGTGCAATTATAATTATTAAAATGTTTAAAATTTTACATAATGAACATCGAAATAGTAAGTTTTCCCCGTTAATTTAAAAATATTTTTTTTTGTTTTCATTAAATTATCATTACAGAATGGTATAGTTATGGAACATTCTACATATCGTTCATTATTGTTCGTCTAATCGAATGTATTATTGTTGGAACATTTATTGCTTTATTCTATTATTTTAACATTAATCATATTTATGTTGATGATTATCATTTAAATTGGAAACGTATTGGACATTTTATCTATTTTATCTGTCAAAATGCTTTATATAGTCAAAATATTGGTTTTCTAATAGGTATTATATTCGTTCGATATTTGGAAATAGCAACAATAATATCATTAGTTGTTTCACAAACTTTACATATATTTATGGGATTATTTTTTCAACAAGAACAATTGAATGAACCAATATGGAAATTTCAAATCGAATTGATTAAAGTACAAAAAATTTTTCATGGCTTATTATATTCATTCTATTCAGTTGATCGTTGTGATCCTGAAACCGAAAGATCATATGTATTGATCGATAATGAAATTGATCGAGATCAAATATTTATTGAATCTAATCGAATTTATTGGAATATTTTGATTATACAATTAATTTTTGCCATAATACTTTGGCTAAAATTATCATATCGAAAATCGAGAGGAAGAAAATTCAAAAAATCTAACGAAATTGAATTACTTACTTTGGATTATGATTGTGAACAACGAATTGATAATGAAAACTATAGATTTGCTATCAATTTGACCGAAATAAATCGTATAAAAACGGAAAAAGAAATTGAATTTGAAAATTTTACCCGTAACAAAATTATGATTGCTTGGCGTTCGATTAATTTGTTTGCATCGTCATCATTATATGAAATACGTTCGGCTAATCAGATTGATGATAAAACGAAATTAATATTGAAAAATTTGAACGGTGAATTTCGATTCGGAACATTGAATGCATTGATGGGTCCATCTGGTGCTGGTAAAACATCATTATTAAAAGTTTTGAATGGTCGAATGAAAACCAAACTTAGCGAAGAAAGTGAATTCTATCTTACAAAATATTGTCCAACACGTGTATGTTATTTAACGCAAGAAGTTTCAAGCCATTTAATGCCCGGTTTAACAGCATTACAAAGCTTAATCTATGCATCAAGATTAAAAAATGCTCAAGAAGTAAATAAAGAAATAAATCATGAAAGTATAGCTAAAAATATTCTCAATGAATTAGATATTACCGATACGGCTGAAACTTATGTACAGAATTGTTCGGGTGGTGAACGAAAACGATTAGCACTTGGCTTAGAATTGACAAGTTTACGAATGCCAAATCTAATCTGTATTGATGAACCAACCAGTGGATTGGATAGTAATTCTGCTGAAATTGTTATAGCATGTTTATTGAAACTTGCACGATCACATAATCTAACCATTATAACAAGTATTCATCAACCAAATATGAATATGATGATGATGTTCGATCAACTTTATGTATTGGCCAAAGGTGGTATTTGTGTTTATTCGGGTAGACCGATTGATGTTGGAAAATTTCTTGAAAAAATATCTGATCCAAGAATTAATGAAAATCTTTTTCCAATCGAACAATTAATGCAATATTCTTGTCTGGATCATACTAATTCAATGACAGTATGTACAACAGAAACCGAAAACAAAATAATATTAACAAATGATATGCATAAATCGATTGATGGTATACCAACTAATCGTAATCGATTTTTATTAAAATCATGTTGGATATTGTTTTTACGTTATTGTGCATTCGTACGTGGCTATCAATGGATACCATATTTTTGGTTTATGTTGCTTATTATTGTACAAGGTCCATCATTAGTGATGAAAATCAATCCAGATATTCCATACGAAAGTGGTTGTATAAATTTGGAAGAATCCTATAATAATACCTGTAATCGAACTGAACAGGAAAAACAAATGGATGCTAATTTGGAACAAAATTTTTTATTCATATTGGCTTCCGTTTCTTATTTTCTTTCATTAATTTATCTACAATGTACGATAATATTTGTAAAAGAAATTCGATATTTTTGGAATGAACATCGAAATGGTAAAATATAAAATTACTATTTTATTATTATTAATTCACTATTTACTGATTTTTTTAGGTTGGTATAGTACCGGTGTATTTTATATGACTCGTATGATTATCGAATGGATACCATTACTAATAACAGCAGTCGGTTTTGTTTATACGATCAATATCTATGAACAAATAAGACCGGGTATTTACTATTGGCTATTATTTTTATTCATATTGGCAATGATTCCTATGCAAAGTTTTGGTTATTTACTTGTTATTCTAAGTTGTAATAATTTTGCTATTATTGTTGTAATAATGACAGTTATTTCAGTAATATGGTATCTATTATCTGATGGAAATGCACCTATTTATAATCTACATTATGCATATCAAATGATTTCAAATTTTGTTCCAACAAAATTTATGAATCGTAGTTTTCTTGCATTAGTATATGGTTTTGATCGTTGTCGTTCGAAAGAAATTCAACCAACACTTTATTATTATCGAATTAATGATGATGATTTTTATCAAGCAATTCCAATGTTAATTATGAATGGATTATTGTTTCATACATTATCATTATTGATATTGATTATGAAAGCTAATCCATTTAAATCACGAAGAAATAGAGCTAAAAAAATACTTGATCATCATCAAACATTAAAACCATCCAATGTAATTATACCGGGTCTTGGTTGTCATCATGAATTTACAATCAAAAAATTCGAATGTTAAATTTATTTTACTTTTTACTTTTGTTTTTGTTTTTGTTTTCAATTAAAATTCAGTATATTTTTTTATATTTTTTGGCTGAAAATTTTTTTTGGCAAGATTGGATTACTGATCAAAAGATGGCGTAACTAATACCAGATTTTTTTTTTTTTTTTGAAAAAAAGGTATTTTTAAATCCATCATTTTGATGTAATTGGATGGATAATAAAATGGATAATATCGAAGATAATATCATCATTTAGTTAGTGAATGAATGGTCAAATTAAGTCGATAATGATGATGACAATGAATGAATGCTGGTGATAATTATTATTGTGTTGAAAATTATAACAACAATGATCATCATCATCAAATAGACAAGGTCAGAAATGATTCCAAAAAATCATGATTATTTGTTGAAAAAAAAGATGTTACGAAATTTTCATTCATTTTTTACACTGCAAAAAAAAAATATATGGATTTTTTTTCTGCTTTTGTTACAAGTGGTCAATTGGAAAGTTTTTCATCAATCGACAACAACCTGCAAATTGTTAATCCGAAAATTTATCTGAAAAATCAAAGATTATTTTAGATTTGAATGTTTTTTGTTTTTTATTTGTAATTAAAAGCAAATTAAAAAAACAAATATTTACCTCAATGTCAAAATGTCCTTTAAAAAAAACGAAAACGAAAACATTTTGTCGCCTGTAAAAGGATGTTTTATGTGAACAGTTTGTGTAGTGGTCGATTGTTGAGGATCCAAATTCAATAAACAAAAAAAATTGATATTAGATCGATATGAATGATAACAACGACGATTGATTGAATAACGAATGAAAAACATTCATTATGTAATCAAGGTGTGGATAAAGGTAAATTGTCAAGTTTCATTTCAATTCAATTCAATTTTGTAAATTAAGCTCGAGGAAGAGCATTTGGCGTTTGTCATTTTGTTTATGAATGACATTTGTTTCAATTATGAATATTGAAATTTTATCCATTTGAAATGTCCATTTTTGTTGCTGATGTTGTTGTCGTTTATTTCGAGAAATTTTCCAGCCAAAAAAACATGGTTAACCTTCAGATTTTTTTGCACGATTTTTTTTTCTCGCTTGCTTGTTTGATCCAAATAGATCGTGTTTTCGCTTGCTTGCTGTATTCCCCTAAAGGTGTTTGTCACTTTGATACAAAAATGCGATGATTATATAACAGCAAGCAAAACAGCCAGTCAGCCAAACTGAAACATTTCAAGAGGATAATTATTGATGTAAAAAAAAGTGAAAAATTAATGAATTTAATGAACAAAAATGATCTATTCGACTGCATTTGATTGGAAAAAAATTTTTCATTAAAAATGATTTATCAAAAATTTTTGATTTTTTGATTTTTTTTGATCTTTTTTTTCGATGGAAAAAATTACATAATTTCATCATTCAGCAAATCAGATGGAAATAATAATCCCAAGAATTTTTCCAATCTAAAAAAAATCTGAGAAAATTTTTTCTTCAAGCTAGAATTTCTTCTTCTTCTTCTTCGACTATATTTTCACAGCCAAATTGATAATTTGTTCATTTTACGCAATTGATTGAATTCAAAATGAAAAAAAAATTTCATTAAATATCGATAATCAAATCAATTGATTTTTTCGCTTTTTCAATCGTGTCAATGTAATTTTCTTAATTTTTTTTTCATTCATTTTGCTTAAAAGCCAAAACATTTCAAAATTATATCCCCCATCATCATCATCAGGATTGAAAACGATTGCTACTTTAATTGATTGAAATTCATAGAGAAATTAATTTTGAATTTTTTTTTTCTTTAAGATTTTTCTTCTTTTTCTCAACAAGATTACTGGGTGAAAACTTGAATCAATCGATTATCAAGAGGGAGAGAGAGAGATTAGACCTAATAGACCTTATCCTTGATGTTTAAGTAGATTTCAAGAAGCAAAACAGAAAAAATCGGTCAATTTAAAAAAAACATTCACAATTCAATTACCACCAAATTTTGTTGAATGGTGTGAGAAACCGAATAAATTTCGTGATGAAAATTGAAAATAATGAAAAATTGAAATCGATTTCAATCAATCAATTTGATCCATTTGAAAGAGGGGGAAATGTAAATATATTTGTGACCATGAAATGTTTGTTTTTTGTTTTCTAAAATGGAAAAATCCAATTTGGAACATTGAACATTGAATATCGTTGATTTAATCATAGAACCTCTTAATAAGCTTCAAGGATTAATGGATTTTTGGATTAAAAAACAAAAAAAAATCTGATATTTTATCATGATAAATGTGTTTGTGTTTGTTTGTGGTGAAAAGCAACATTATCAAACATCATCAAATATTGGATCATCATCCGACTCTGAAAATAAATATGGAACAAACACGTGTGTGCGATGATCATCATCATTTGTACATCTTTTTTTTCTGAAAGAAAATTACGATGTTAATGACGATGAGGATGATGATACAAAAATGAAATTGGAAAAATCCATCATCAGTGAAATCAGTGGTGAAAATTGATGATGATGATGAAAAACAAATAAAAATGAAAATACAGAATTGCATAACCCACCAATATGAGTAAAAAACACACAGCCAATGAAAAAAATAGGCCATGAAATTATTATGGATCAGAAAAAATATTTATCTATTTTTGATCTGAAATTTTTTTCGATGAAGAAGTTGACGATGGTAGTGTTATTTTTGTCTTTATTTATTTATTTTGAAGATTTTTTGTTTCATCAAGTAGGTGAGTAGGCGAATCACACCATCTCTCTCTAACAAAAAAATTTTCAAAATGAATTTTTGAAACTTTAAAACTTTTTTTTTTGAACTATTAATTGACCATCATCAACTTGGCTATTCATCACAAGATCATAAGACATTTTTACTTCAATAATTATTGTTGGTCAATTTGTTCCAGTTTTTTCTTTCTTTCTTTCTACGCTGACCATCCATTTATGTAATAATATATAAAATATGTCCGTTGATTGTATACATCTGTGTTATGTGTTTCAGTGAGAACGAAAAAAGAAAGAAACGAAACACGTGCTGTCACGTGTTTCGTTGTTCTGTTACACAAAAACAAAAGGGGCAGTCACCATATTCAAAAGCTAAATGTAGATGTTTTTTTTTTTTTTTGAACAGAAACAAAAAAGATAATGATTACAAATTGCGAATCGTTATTTGCTTTGCTTTGTTTTTAGCTATATAGCTAAGTTTAGTTTTATTAATTTTTTACAAAAAAATTTTTTCGTTGTTCGACTATAAAAATGTTTAGTTTTTGGCATTAATATTTCAAATCGATCAAACAAGATCATCCAAACAAGCAAACAAACAAACAATCATCTGATAGCAAATTTTTTTCTGTTTCTGTTTTTGCAAACAAACAAACAAACGAACGAAAAATTTAAGAAAATGTTCAAAGTATGATTTTTAAATTTTGTGTTTGTTTTTTCCTTACGATTTTTTTGGTTCATTTACGGTTTTTGTTTTATCTTTGAATCCCGACCGGGTAAATATATAGCTTATTGTTTTAGTTGCTTTGGTTGCTTTGGTCCATGGTTACGGCGGCGGTTATGGTGGTGGCGGTGGTGGATATGGTGGTGGCGGATATGGTTCAATTCCATTAGCCGTACGATCGTATCATAATATCCGAACCTATGATGTTCCATCATATGGTTATAGTAAACCAGTATATGTTGATGGTATGATTTTTATTGATTTATTGATTTTTGTTTAGAATTCAAATCTCTATTCTTTTTGCTTTAAAAAAATTAGTTGATTCTAGTGCTATTCCAATCTATATGAATTTCCGATCAAAATCATCATATTTGAAATTAAATCAACAACATGAAGGACAAAAAGGATCATATCAAGAATCATATTCACAAGGTATGTGTATTTTGTTTATTAAATAATTTGATAATCAGAAGAATGCTAACGGAAAAATGCCCATTTTTTTCAACAGATGAACCACATTATTTGAAACATACCGTTAAAAAACCAGTTTATCAAGAAGTTAATGAAGTTATTACACCATATCGAAAAATTAGACAAGAAATTCGTCCAGTTCAAGAAGAAATTGAAACAATGGTTGCACGAAAAGCTTATGGTGGTGGTGGCGGTGGTGGTTACGGTGGTGGTTATGGTGGTGGTGGTGAATATTATTAGACGCAAATACATGCATATCGATCCAAATCACAAACAAAAAGAAGAAATTAGTTGTAGTTTATTTTTTTCCAATTCATCTCAAACCCAGAAACCAAAATAACCGTGTGATTTTTTTTAAAATTATTATTATTCTTGAAAATGTAAATCAAATTCCCGGGATTAGGAAAACTTTTCAGGAATTTGATCTTAGAACAATTACCGAAAAAAAATCTCATCTCCCAGATCGATATCGATTATTTTTAATTTATTTATTTTACCCAAATATGTTCATATTTATTATCAATTTTTTTTTATAAAAAAAATAAATTTTTTAAATCTTTTTACAAGAATCTTTGTAGTTTTGTTATAAAAAAAACAAAAATTTCGGAAAACATTTGGAAAGTTTTTAAAAATACAAGATACAAGTTTCAAGATGTTTATCGTTCCTTGGAAAATTTCTTTTTAAAACAACAAGAAAAATTAATTACATCTTCAGTGTGTTAATGAATGGAAAAACTTAGCTTTTTTGTTCTTATCTCGATTCGGAGGATAGATAAAAATTAAATAAATTGTATCATTTTCAATCGAAAAGACATAGAAAGAAAGATTTATATCAATGTTTTTTTCTTCTTGAAACAACAAGATTCATTACATAAATCAAAAATTCATTACATAATTAATTAATTAATTAATTGATGAAAAATTTTTCTTTTGTAAAAATCTTTTGTATAACTGAAATGGAAAATGTTGCGAATATTTTGAATAACTTTTCTGTCTTTTTGGATTAGGTTCCTTTTTGTTTTTTCAATTTCGGGTTGACCACTTGACCAATTGAATGGTTTTTTTGTTGTTGTTGTTGAGAGTAAGTGTGTGGGGGAAATTGAATTTTTGAATGGCTTTTTTTTTGCATAACCACCACTTTTACATAATGTTTTCTTTTTCTTCCCAAAGAGGATGTGTGTGTGTGTTCTTGAAAAATTCATTAGCGAAAGAAAATTACAAAAATTACAAATTGACATTTAGCATTGAATTATAAAGCACGTTTTTTACTTTACTTTACTTTTTTAAAAAATTTCATTCAAATTTGATCCAAATATAATTTTTCATTTTTTGATTTCCAAGAAAAAATAAAAAATAAAATTTCCAAGTGTTGCACGTACATTAATCATCATCATCATCATTATCAATGATAAAAATGTACGTGTTCAATGGTCATTCAGCACGTGTTTGTGCAGTTGTTTTGTATGTGTGTGTGGAGACAAATTAAGAATTTTTTATTATTATATAATTAACGTTCAATTACATCTGATCGATTTGTTTGTTTGTTTGTTTGTTTGTCATTGATTCTTGACTATAAATAGTGATCCGTTTCGAATGATAAAATTCATCATTTCAGCATCAAACAAACAATCATCATCCATTTCAAATACATTGAATTTTTTCTTGCAAAGAAAATTAAAAGTCAAACTTAAAAAATGTTTAAAGTATGATTTCCGATTTGTGAATATAATTTTATCTTGTTAATTTTTTTACCTGTTTTTTTCCCCCAATTCATTTTAGTTTATCGTTCTTGTTGCTTTGGCTACTTTGGTTCATGGTTCTGGATACGGAATGGGTGGTGGTGGTTATGGAGGTGGTGGCGGCGGCGGCGGTGGTTACGGTGGTGGCCCAATTCCATTAGCCGTACGATCAAATCATAATATTCGTACTTATGATGTTCCATCATATGGTTCAAGTAAACCAGTCTATGTTAATGGTATATCTCTTTTTCTCTTGATTTGATTTGATTTTAATCATTTAAATTTTTCTATTTTAAAATATAGTTGATTCAAGTTCACCACCAATATATATGAATTTCCGATCAAAATCATCAATGTTGAATATTAATCAACAACATGAAGGACAACAAGGATCATATCAAGAATCATATTCTGAAGGTATGTGTATGATAATTTTGAAAGAGGGGAAAAAATAACCCAAAAACATTATCTGTTTACTAGATGAACCACATTATTTGAAACATACTGTTAAAAAACCAGTATATCAAGAAGTTAATGAAGTTATACAACCATATCGAAAAATTACACAAGAAATTCGACCAGTACAAGAAGAAATTGAAACAATGGTTGCACGACAAGCATATGGTGGTGGTGGTGGTGGTTACGGTGGTGGTATGGGAGGTGGTTACGGTGGCGGTATGGGTGGCGGTTACGGTGGTGGTGGTGAATATTAGATTTGAATCCAAAAGAAAAAATGAAAAAAGAAACGATTTTCCCGAAATCCAAAAGGATCAACATATCTTTCAAACAACAACGAAAATATATTTATTTTTATTTATTAATCTCTTATTTATGACATAAAGTTGTCCTGTGTTGCTATCTCCAATCCAAAATATTATCTGAAAAATGAAAAGATAAATAAATTTTGAATTTCAAAACAAAACAAACAAAAATTTGTAACTTTTTTTTCAAGGTGGAACTCTCTTTTGCAAAGAGAAAATCAACAACAACAACAATTTGGCTTGATCGTTTCATTTTGATTTTTGATTTTTTTGTAAAAAAAGAAATAAATACTTTTCAATCAAACATTTGATTTATTGATTGATTGAATGAACAAAAAGAAATAAATAAGGAGAGAGTTAATTATAATTTTTTAATGAATAATAATAATAAAAATACAATCAATGACTGATAAATAACATAAATAAATAAATAAGGAACAATGAATCTGATGAATTTGATCATCATCTGAGAAGAAGAAGAAGAAGAGGAAAAAAATGAAGAAATGAAGGGTTGAATTTGATTCATCGTTGAATGAGAATCATTCAACGATGAATATGGCAACTACAAAATTAGGTGGGTGTTTTTTTTTTGGGAATATTTTTATTTTGATAAGCTTAATAACCGCTCATCATGCTTGAGCCACCCATGCTTGAACCGGCACTCATGCTTGAAGCACCACCACCATAACCGCCCATACTTGGAGCGGCCATTTTTGGTGCAGCGGCCATCATTTTTGGTGCAGCTGCCATCATTGGTGCAGCGGCCATCATACCACCACCATATCCACCACCCATACCACCACCATTCATCATCATACTTTGTTTAGCGATCAATGTTTTAATTTCTTCTTCAACTGGTTTAATTTCTTGTGTAATTTTACGGTATGGTGTAATAACTTCATAAACTTCTTGATAGATTGGTTTTTTAACTGTATGTTTCAAGATATGTGGTTCATCTTCAGATTGTGATTCTTGATTTGAACCGGCAGCACTTTGATGTTCTTGTTTAACATTCAATGCTGATGATTGTGATCGGAAAATCATATTGATTGGAATGGCCATAGCACCGACTAGATAGATTTTGATTCAAAATTGATTGAAATTCAATTATAATTCGGTTTTCTTCACAAAAAAAACAATACATACTTTCAACAGTGATTGGTTTGACCATTCGTTGTGATTCAACTTCTCTATATGAAACACGATGATTTGATTTAACAGCCAAATTAACTGTTTCACCCATACCACCACCCATACCGCCATAACCCCCACCGCCACCACCACCACCATTACCGGCGCTCATGCCAGAAGCACCACCGCCACCCATACCATATCCGCTACCATATGCCATGGTAATTGAAGCAGCAATAACGAAAATCTATTAACCGAAAAATAAACGAAAATTAAACACAAAAAACTCGGATGAAAATCACATACTTTGAACATTTTTATTGTTGATGTTTTGAAGATTTTTTTTTGTTTTACAAAGTAAAATAAAGTTTTATTGAATAGTTATTGAATTATTATCTTTTGGAAAGATTTGTTTCAAATCGAATATGATTTTTAATCCATAAATCGACCATGGGTTTTATAGTAGAAAAAAATTCGAGATCAATGTGTGTGAATCAAAGAGCATCTGTCTCTTTAACTAGACTCTTGTATTCATCGGGTTATAATTGTTGTTGTTGTTGTTGTTGTTTTGCTTTCTTTCAATAAAAAACAAGCTGTTCCAAATAACATATATTTGACATTTATTGGAAAAAAATTTGCACTTAATTTTATTGATCAGTTGAATATGATGATGGTGGTGTGGCCAAACATCACCAATCCAAATCAAAAATCACAAAAATCACTAGGTCGCCACTCATCAAGACCTTGTTATTTGATTTAGTTTTGGCAAAGAAAAAAAAATTAATCTATTTTTCATTTTATTTACAGTCTTTACATTCATCTTCGAGCAAAATTGAAATCGAAAAACGAAAAGCGAAAATGCACCAAAACAAATAGTTTTGGGATAATTAATAAATCTCTTTTCTTTTTCTTTCTTTTTTTGATTTTTTTGATTTTCGCATTCAAATCAATCAATATCGATGCAAAAATTATTATTCAAGAAGATTTTCTTTTTTTTAATTGATGATGGCCAAAATGAAGAGATTTAATCTCTCATCTCAAAAACAAAAAAATTAGATCAGTTCCAATTGGATTGAAACATTGAATAATATTTTGATCTAATTTTGTTGTTTTTGTTGTTTTCATCATAACCTTTGACCAAAAATTTGTTTTGAATTTTTTTACTTCGGGCACCTTATTAGTTTGTTTTTTTTGCAAGTCTAGAATAATAATGATTTGTTGTTGTTGTTGTTGTTTTGGCTTTAATTGATCTAATTTGTTGTTGTTGTTGTTGAAAATTAAACTGATTTGAACTTGATCAACTAACTAACTAACTAACTATCGGTTATTGATCATTATCAGTTCGTTTGTTTGTGTTTGTTATTTGATTTCTTCCTATGTTTGTCAAATGAAATATTTTCATTTTTCTTCGTTTTGGAAAAGAATTTCATAATTTCAGCAACGCAAATTCATTGCTGAATGTCAACAACGACTACGACAGAAAAGCGAAAAACGTTTGACAGTTTTCATTAATTACTAATGAATGGTGACAAATATTTTATCAATCAAGTAATCAACAACAAGTAAAAAAAATATATCGAAATTTGGAACAAATTTGTAAAAACTGAAATAACTATCTGCTTTAGTCGAATAACGTAATCCAAACATCTCTCTCTCTCTCTCTTGCTCTCTCACCGCATCAATATCATGAAATTGGAAAAAATCAAGCTAAATATTATTTAATAACAGTACAACGCAATCAATTAGATGATGAAATGTTTTTTGTTTTTTAATTAGATAATTTTTATTCAATATTTTTTCAATCATGGATCATCGAGAATTTTCCATTTTGACAGTTATCGATTTGTTTTTCATACATACACATAATTTAGGTACCTGCATTGTATAAATTTGGTTATTTTTTTGAAAATTTTTCCGATATTGTTTGATTGATTGATTGAATCATTTTTCATTTGCTGAAAAGACAATGATTCAAATGTTTTCTTCTCCTGAAAAAAATTAACACACACACGCACACATGGGACATTTTTCAACAAAAAAAATCATTATGGTTACACAAATGGCTATCATAATCATCATAATCATTAACGTTATCAACAAACATCATTATACTCAATGATAATGATGATAATAAAATTATCATTATTAAATCCTTTTCTTTTCTTTCACTCTTTTACTCTTTCTTTTCATACCTTTATAATTCAATTATGGAACTATATCATCATCATCATCATTGAGACAATTTTTTGTTTTATTTCGAAAAAAAAAGTTTTTTTTTTAAATGTCATTTTTGGCATTGAATATAAGAAGACTTTGTTTATACCGAAAATTTAAAAAAAAACAACAACATATTTGACAATCGCCATTATCATCATAACAAAAAACAGAAACAGAAGCAAATGATGATATGGATTGTTGAAGAGAATAAAGAAAAATTGTTGTTGTTGTTGTTATTTTCATCATCCTTATCATCGGCGTCATCATTTTTAAATGACCATTTTTATCGACAATTTAAATTTTTTTATTTATTTATATAACTTGAATCATTTAAATGGATCAATATTGAGACATTTTGAATTTTTTTTCTTCTTCTTCTTTTGTAATAATAAAGAAAGAAAAACAGACTTGTTCCATCCATATATAAAATCCATGATCATCATTCAATTAGTGTATCATAATTGAATTTCATCTTCAATTGAAATCATCCAATTCAATTCAATCAACTTAATCAACTTAATCAACTTTTGAAGAAAAAAAAATGTTTCGAGTATGTTTTACAATCCCGAGCCGTGTACCCGATTTTTAAATTCCGAAAATTTTTTTCCCTCATTAGTTTCATAAAATCAACGAAAGATGTCATTAGTTGTTTTTTCTCCCTCCACAGAAAAAAAAACAATCCTAATGCCAGTCATGTCATCTGGTGATTGGCGTTAGCAATTATTTTCTTCAAATTTCTGATTTTTTATCATTTTTTTTCTTCATTTTTTTAAGCTATTGATTATTGCCAGTTTGGCTATTTCCGCACAATGTGTTCGATATGGTGGTGGCGGTCGTAGCTATGGAGGTGGTGGATACGGGGGTGGTCGTAGTTATGGAGGAGGAGGTGGAAGTTACGGTGGCGGTATCGTAAATTTAGCCGTAAGATCTCGTCATAATGTACAATATTATGATGTACCATCAAGTGGTTCAATTCAACCAATTACTGTTGAAAGTTTGTATTCTCCCTACGATGATGCTAAACCATATAACTAAAATCATCTTTTTTTCCGTAAATTACAGTCGGTGCAAATCCAATTCCGGTAACAATGATTTTCCGTTCAGCATCATCAAATTTGAATGTACAAAATCAACATGAAGGTCAAGGTGGTTCGGTATGTATTTAGTGAATACAATGACTATTATCGTTTTGTTTTAACTAATATTATTTCATTCAAATCCCAAAAGTTCCAAGAATCACAATCCGAAGATGAACCACATATTTTAAAACATTTAGTATTCAAACCAGTATTACAACAAATTCATGAAGTTATTACACCAAGACGATTAATTACACAAGAAATTAAACCAGTATTTGAAGATATTCAAACATTGGTTGCAAGAAATTCACATGGTGGTAATGGTGGTGGATTTAGTCAAAGTAATTCACTTTTAGGATCTATGTTTGGTGGTGGTCGTCGCAGTGGTGGTGGTGGCGGTGGTGGTTATAGCCGAGGAAATTCACTTTATGGTTCAATGTCTGTAAGCGGTGGCGGTTATGGTCGATCATCCGGAAGATATTAAAATCAATGACTGAATCAATCGATCCATCAATCAATCGATCGATTGTCCAAATATTTATTTATTCATCATTATTTATCATCATTATCCCAAAAACAAGAATCCAGAATCAAGAATCCATTCATCATTCATTCATTTTTGGTTCAAACAAACATCCAACGTCCAAAATGAATTTGTAATTTTATGTTTTTCATTTCGCTTCATTTCTCTTCAATTCACTTCATTTTCTCCACTACCCACCAAATCCAATATAATAAAAACATTTATAATTTCATCAATAAAATTGATAAAATTATAATTTTTATAGACAAAAACAAACAAAAATTTTGTTTTAGTTTTCTCGCCATTCATTTATTCAAAATGATGATTGAAAAATAATTCTTGAACAGTGCTACGAATGATAAATGGGAATTTTTGCTTTCAATGTCGATCCACTATTTAAAAAAATTGATGCCATTCATCTGACCACCACAAACATTATTATCATCACCAAACAACAACAACAACAACAACAACATTATCATTAATATGAAAACATAGACAGAAAATTATATGCATTTTTTTCCTTTTTAAAACAAAATGATGATGATAATGATGGTCACTTTTCTGTTGTTGTTGTTGTTGTTGGATTCATTGCAGAAAAAAACAAATCCTTTTTTTGTACGCATGCGCTTTGCTTATAATGATAATCCTTTCAAATTTTTTTCGTTTCAATGTAAAAAAAACTGACCATTTTTGAATTGAATGTAAATTTTTCAAAAAAAAATTTTTCTTGTTCAACACAGTGTGAAAGATGGTCAATATTTCAAGGCAAAACTCAATCAAATCAATTTATCAAATACAAAAAAACAATGGCCAAATGATCAAAAAACGTTACACATTTAACGATTTATCATCATCATCGTCGGAGTGTTATTTTGGATGAAAAAAAAATCCAAAATCCAAATTTGTGGAACATATCATTTCTGCTTGAAAATGGCCAAGAATGTGTGTAGCAATTACAAGACTGAATTTTTGAATCTTTTTTTCTGTGATATAAATGGAATAGAAAATGAAATTCCAAATGAAAAAACATTGGAAAATTGATGCTAAATTCATCATCAAAATTATCAAAGTAAATCGTTTAATATACCGCCTGTTGATGTTTTAATTTCATTTTGGATTTTTGTTTGTTTGAAACAAAACACGTCTGAATTTGAATTTGAAGTCTTTGAAGATTATCTTGGGCGTTTCAATCTGTGTCCAATATATATCATTTTGTGTGATATAAATTTTCTTCATTTTGCACTATTGAAAAATCTCGATAAATTGAAATGAAATTCATCAATTTGAATATAAAAGAAACAACGAAAAACTTGAGACACAACCTATGTCTGTGTTTTGATGACGATGATTGATTGGAAATTTTTCATTTTTGCAAAAAAAATTAATTTCAATTTTCTCTTGATGAAAAAGAAAAAACAAGGGTTTTTTTGGAAAAGTTTCCTGGAATCTGGAAATATTTCCATTGGAATCTTTTTCTGTGTGGGAAAAAATTTCTGGGAAATTTTCTTATAAATTACCTTTTTTTAACATTTTGCTGGTAGGTAATTTTCTGAAATTGAACAGCAAAAATATTAATTGATTCCCACACACAAACACTTGTATCTCCCGTAGGGCATTTAATTAGCACCTGTTTTTCCATTGATTTTCTAAATGTTTTTTTTTCATTTGGATCATCAAACAACGTCAATGGTTTGTTTTCGTTCGCCACTTTCACTTTATCAAAAAAGCAAAAAAATATTCTTCTAAATATGACTTTAGTTGATTGGTTGACAAAAAAAAATTCCTTCAAAATGGATCTGGATTTGAATGAATAAATGAATGATGTTTTCAAATGAAATTAATCTAATAAATACAAAAAAAATTGAATGAAAATCCCATTAGTAAAGAGTTTTTTCATTTATTCATTTCATTTAGCTTTGTTTCGTTTTGCTGTTTTCTTGGTTATCCTTGAAAATCATGCTATAGATCAGTTTCATTTTCTGTGCTTTTGAATAATGATTTTTTTTTGCTTTACTTTTTTTGATTTGATTTGATTTGATTTTATACGATTGATGCGAATGATTGGATTATTGCTTCTGGGTTTTCTCAGTGTATATTGAAAATCTTAAAAATCTTTTCATGTTGGCACTTCTTTAGTTGAATGGATCATTGATGATCATTGATGATGGCCAATCAATGACTCAATCATCATCATCATTTTGATTTGATGATTAAATTAAAGAAAATTTTCATCTAATTTCATCAACTTTTTCATTTCATAGGAAAATTTCTCGGAAATTTCTTGGAAATCTTTCTGAAAATTATTATTTGACCAACATGTTTTTTTACTGTTTTCTGCTTGAATGATGAAGAAATTTATCTAGCCAAGAAATTAATGAAAAACTGTGATAATATCACTGTTTCCAATGCCAATATTTTTATGAATATGAAATATTTAGCTAGCCAACTAATAAAGATGTTTATTTTAGCATCATAATAAATTTTCCAACCATATATATATCGTTATCTTTATATCTTTTATTCGATGATTTTGAAATTTTTTTGAAAATTTATTGATTGACTTTCGAAACAAAAGTTTGGCGACTATTTCAACCACATTTTATTATCAAATGCGGTTATTTTAGCCAAAAATAATTTAAATTGCAAATTTTTTTTCATCGCATCTTTTCTTTTTTCCCCCCAAACCACTAATAATAATATTTACGTCAATCATCAAAATGTGTGAATTTCGATTTGATATTTGGAATTTAAAAAAAAAAAAAAAAAAAAAAAAAAGAGCAATCAATTCAGTCTGTCAGTCAGTGTCTTGTTGGGGGGGGGGGGGCGCCATAT